AATATTTTCAACGTTTTTTATTTATTTTAGGGATGAGAGAGACAGAGCACATACATGGGAGGGGCAGAGAGAGGAGACACAGAATGCAGTGACAGACTCCAGGCTCTGACCATCAGCCAGAGAACCCCGGCGGGCTCGAACTCTGCGACCAAAGTCGACCTGGCTGAGTGATTTGGCCAGCAACGACCTCATGCCCAGGCGCCCTAAACTAGCTTTTCAAGTGTCTCTGTAGTTCACCCCAGTGTTCTCCTTTTGGTTCCTTTCCAGCATGGTCATCTGTACAAGACCACCTTCTGATAATTCCATAAAGAAAACCTCCACAGGCCAATTAAAATTTTCTTCCCCAAACTGGGGGAGATGGTATTAATGCTGAGGAGCTTGCCAAAGGGAAGAAGAGGCTAAAGGGAAAGACCACCATCTCACACTGCTGCCAACTGACAGGTCTTGATTGGTATGCTTGACCAGGTGCTGTCATGGCACAGTGTCTGTCCTGCAGGCCCCACCCTTATCTAATCTTATTTCCCCCACCCTCCCCATTCTTTAGCATTGCCTGACTTTGAGCTCTGGCTATTTCGGCAGAGCCTGCTTTTGTCCGCCACTTTTTTTTTAAGCGTTTATTTATTATTGAAGAAATTAGAGACAGAGTATGAGCAGGGCAGGGGCAGAGGGGGGGAGACACAGAATCCGAGCAGACGCCAGGTCTGAGCTGTCGAGAGCCTGATGAACTCAGTGGACCACAAGATCATGGGCCTGTTGAAGTGGGACACTCTAACCATTTAAACTATGACGACACATTTGCCATTTTGGAAGTGTGCGTGATTTGCCTCCAGTTCTTGTTCCACCACTACACAGAGCACTTGGGAAAAGCAGGACATTGCTGTGGGGCAGGTTGGTCCCTGCTGCACAGTGGCAGGTGTGAAGCTCAGTTTAGGGAGGTAGAAACTGTTACAGGGTTCAGAGAGGTCTAGATTTGGGAACAGACTCAGGCGAGACGGACACACAAACCGATGTAGGCTTTAAGGGACACCAGAAGTTTTAGCATTTAGGCTATGGCATTATATTCATAATTCAGTTTTCTGAACTTTTTGAACTAGATCATTTATAAGTCAGCCTAAAAGAAATCATACTGGAAATATTTTCTGAATTGAATTACATGTGACCCTGTACATTAAACATACAGAGTGTGTTGTATGCTTTTCTTGACTTAGTATAGGTAATTTTCGTTATTGTTTGGTGGTATAATAGACTGCTGTGTGTACTCTTTAAAGTCTTGTCTTTAATTGTGCTTCTGTTTCTATTCATAGTGGTGTGCTCACCATCGCCCTCATGCTCTCCAGGGTACCTACAATGTGTTGCTTCTAATCTGAGCTTGTTAGAATGTCTACAATGTCGAGTAAAGTCTGATAAGAGCCTTGAGGACAACAGGGCCTTTTTCAAACTTACTTTCCCTTTAAGGACACAGCCCCATTCACATTTGAGGTTCTTGATAAGCAGGTCCACCAGCTATATAGGGTGTTACTAGAATGGTAGAGAGTGAACCTCAGCAAGGCTTTCTTTCCTCTAGGGCATTTACATTTAATCAACTAAGTTGAGTATAAATTGGGTTTACAGTCTGTGGATGTATGATTCATAGGCTGGACAACCTTAGTAAACTTGAGCAAGGCTGGTAACAAGAGAGAGAGAAGATACCAAATGGATTATTTCGGGCATAGACGGTCTACATTCTTCACTTAGGTAACAGTGTTTCTCAACTGGAAAATATCAGTATCTGGGAATGATTTATAATATATGCATCTGTAAACTTTGCTGTGGATCCACTAGTGAAAAAATGATTTATTAAAGATGGTGTGGAGTTTTACTTAAAAGAACAGTGGGATGGGGGGCACCTGGGTAGCTCAGTCGGTTCATCTGGCTGTGGTTTCAGCTCGAGTCATGATCTCACGGTTTGTGAGTTCAAGTCCTGATCAGCACAAGTCTGCTTGGGATTTTCTCTCCCTCTGCCCTCTCACTCTGTCTCATGCTCTCTCTCTCAAAAATAAATAAACATTAAAAAAGTAAAAATAAAAAAAATGTAATATTTATTTATTTTTAGGAGAAAGAAAGGAAAAGTAAGGAGGAGAAGAGGAAAAATATTGCTAGAATCTCATAAGTGGTCTCTGCACTCACAACACAGGAAACCCGGCGCGGGGCTTCCTAGACCACTAGATGTTGATAGCTGAAGTCAGATGTTTAACCAACTGAACCACCCAAGTGCCCTAAAAATATACAGCTGGACAATCTCCCTCTGTACTTTACATCACTGCGGCTAGAACTGGTTCAGAAGTTGTGGCAAAAGAGGAAAAATCTTATAACTAAAATTTCAGTGGTGAATTCTTGTGAACAATGGAAACCCAATCATTTTTTGTTCAGAAATGTTCTAAGATTATTGTCTCACAAGATCCAGCAACATGTGGCCTTGGATGTTGTTTTTATCGAACTGAACCATGGTGTATTTCAGAGTTAAGTTCTGATTTAACAGTTTTAAGGAGAAGAGTACAAAGCTTACCATGTGATTGTCTTAAGTGGTTTCCAACCTTATTGTAGAGACATAGCACTCAACTAGAGCATAAAATGTGCTGCTGATGCACAAGGAATTGTAGAAAGTACCCAGAGGTTCTATTACACGGTCATTCATTTTTATTCAAAACACCATCTGTGGTGCTTCCACATCCTTCTCGCTGCTCTGTTGCTTTATAATCTCTTCCTGTCTGCTTCCCAGTTTGACTGACTGACTCTAGAGTGTCATGAGTTTTTATTCCCCTATTTGTATTTCCAGGAGGCTAGGGCAGTCAGGTGCCTGGTACATGAAAGTGACTCAAAAAAAAATATTTGTTTAATAAATCAATAGTCAAGAATGAGTGCTGTGGCCAATTGTCTTGAAAATTGACTTTTATTTTAAGTTAAATTATTTCACACAGACGTAAACTTGAGCTTTTCTCATGAGCAGTTTTGCTCTTTCCTACGGTATCACTGAATGTGTGTTCGATTGCAAATTCATGAAAGGTGTCAAGAAGGATTCCATTCATACATTCATTAAGCTGGCTGCAAAAGAATCATTGTTTGTCATTGGCCGACACATGCTTTGATCATCAACCTTTCACCGTCTGGAGGACAGCTCTTTTAACAAGAAACCATTGTAAAATTTGACATTATTTGGGTTTTGTCACTTACAGCTGGAAAGCATTGACTTCCTGTATAACTTGATCTTCAAATAATTCTAAAAGAAATATTTATAATGTTATAAATTTAAACTGCATTCAAAATTGTTCATGGAGACAAATCAGTTCATTCTTGGTTAAATGGAGTTTTAGAAGAATTGCACACACGATATTGAACATTTCAATAATTGAGTACAAAACACACACATTTTAGGTGCTGTCTACTACAAATTCCACTACAGTGATTAAGCAGCTTTTAATTGCAGAATGTAAGGAATGCTCCAGGTCGCCACAACCAAATCTTTGCTCGTCCCAGCAATGGTGTGATGCAATCCACTATAAGTAGGCTGGTGCTTCAGACATCAAAATGGACATTTTGAGCACCCAGAGGAGTAACTTGCTTTATACCTACCAACCTACAAATATTCAAACATCTTCTACTATTACAAAGTCAGAGAAAGAGCCATTAAAAGATTAACATTTGGGAAAAGTCAAAATCATGCATGATCTCAATCACACTTACGATGATGGTGGTGGTGGTGTTATTATAAACCCCTATTGAATTGGCGCGCTTTGACTGGATGTTTTTTCTTACATGACCTTTTGTGGATTTGTTTTAATATTGGGGCATGTATAATTAGGTGCCCTCCTTTATTTTCCTCTCTTTTAGTAGTTTTTTCGTGTGGCTCTAATCATCATTTCCAAACTCTCTAAAAACCCATTTTCTATTCAGCCTATCCAATCTTTTAGGTCAATCACTTCCACCAGAGTGTTGAAGTTACTATGTAGAAATACTTTCAATAAAAGCAATCTTTATTTGTCCATTTACATATTTCATCCATTTGCTGTATATCACTTCCATGAACTTTTGATTAAAAATAACAAACATTTATGGCATAGGATATCAGTTTAATCTTATAATAACCCTTGTAGAATACTATGTATTATCTCCATTCCAACAGATAAATAAGAAAACAGATCCACACAGCCAGGAAGGTAGCATGGCTTGATTTTTTAAATCCTGCCTTTACCTGCCATGGCCTCTGTTTACATCTGATGATGGGCCCTTGAACTTTTGCTTTCTAGATTTGAGATCAAGTGTTTGGTCATTATACTCTAGGGTAACACTTTTGTCTCTGTATGGCTAATTTGGTTTCTGAGTACATCCATTTGCTTTCTAGTCAGATCATCAAAATGACAAACAGCATTCCTGGTACAGATACTTCAGCATTTAATGAGAGTGGAACAACTTCTGGTTTTAATTTTTTGGCGTCCCTCATAATTATGGTCTTATAAGTTATAGCTGGACATGGCCGCGTTGTCAAAAGGATGCCGGGCAACTCTCAGGTGTGTTTTTTTTTTTTGTTTGTCCTTTTTTTCTGGTTGAACTATGCCTGTGTGAAATGCTGACAGCAAGATTGCAAGTTATCAAATTAAAGT